GAGCTGGGAAACAGGGACGGGAAAGAGAGAAGAGGGAAGAAAGAGGCAGAGGAAAGAGAGATAACAACGAAAGCGAGGGGACCCGATCCACTCCCTTTTCTCGTTCCCCTGGTGCAGCCTCTTGTGTAAACAGACTTCAGGGGCGTTTTGTTCACTTGGGCACATCCGTCCCTTCCCCAGGGAGTGAGTCGGGTAGGCTGAGCCAGTCTCAAGGCGGAGCAGGGAGTTCATAGAACCAGAGAATGGGCTGAGTTGGGAGGGTCAGGATCATCGAGTGCAACTCCTGGCCCTGCACAAGACACCCCAAGAATCCCACCCTGTGCCCGAGAGCATTGTCCAAACTCTTCTTGAGCTCAGACAGGCCTGGTACTGTGACCACTTCCCTGGGAAGCCTATTCCAGTGCTAAGTCACCCTCTGGGGGAAAAAACCTTTTCCTAACATCCCACCTAAACCTCCCTGACTCAACTCCAGCTGTAGAGTCCTGTCACTAGTCACAAGAGTGAAGAGATCAGTACCTGCCACTCCACTGCCCCTCAGGAGGATGTTGAAGACCCCACTGAGGTCTGACCTCAGTCTCCTTTTCTCCAGGCTGAACAAACCAAGTGCCCTCAGCCGCTCCTCATAAGGCCTTCCCTCCAGATCCTTCCCCATCCTCATGGCCTCCTTTGGACACTGTTATGGCTTCATGTCTTTTTTATATTGTGGTGCCCCAAAGTGCCTCAGAACTTGAGGTGAGGCCGCCCCAGTGCAGAGCAGGACAATCCCCTCCTTGGCCTTGTTGGCAACGCTGGGCCTGATGCCCCTCAGGACAGTGTTGGCCCTCCTGTCTGCCGGGGCACTGCTGACTCATGGCCAAATGGTCACCAACCAGGACCCCCAGGCCCCTTTCCTGCAGCTGCTTTCCAGCCTCTTGTTCCCAGTCTATACACACAGCTAGGGTTGCCTGGAGGAGGAGGAGGAGGAGCAGGTGGAGGAAGAATGCAGCAGGAGGAGGAGTAGTGGGAGGAAGAGCAGGGATAGCAGAGGAAAAAGAGCAGGAAGAGCAGGAAGGTTGCTTTTCTGCTGCTGATTGTATCCGCAGTCCCCCCACCCCCGGGAGCATCGCCCCTCCCTCCTGCATCCCAAAGGTGACTGCGGAGGGGGAGCTCACCCCAAATGTCTTGGGGGATTTCTGGGGGTTTTTTGGGGGGGACGTTTGGATCTTTGAAGACTCCAAAATGAGCTGCAAATGCCCCTCGGGGGGATATTGGGGTTCCCATTAGGTGTTTTTTGAGGGTTGCCAAAAAGCTGCCGGCAGAGTCCCGGCAGTGGGCAGGAGGATGCATGTCCCCCCCTGCAGTGGGGATTGGTGTTCCTGGGTCAGGCCCTTCATTGCCAGCCTGGAGCACGGAGGGGGGGACCCCTGGGACCCTGAAATAGGGGCCCTGGAGAGGGGACCCTCAGGACCCCCAGCAGTCTGGAGAGGGGACACCGCAGAAAGGGGAGACCCCTGGGACACCAAAGTAGGGATCCCAGAGAGGGGAGATCCCCAGGATTCCCAGGATCTCCAGCAGCGCGAAGAAGGAAGGACCTCAGAGAGGGGGGACCCCTGGGAGTCCTTGCACCCCATAGCAGAGAATGAGGGGAGAAGGTACCACTGGGACCCCCAAAACCCCCAGCATCCATAAACGGGGGGAACCCAGAGAAGAACTGCCCCCAGAATCCCAAAGGGAGGAGACCAGAGAGGAGGGACCCCTGTGTTTCACAGCACCCCTTACAGCCTGGAGACAGGGAACTCCCAGAACCCCAAAGTGGAGAGACCAGAGAGGGGGAACTCCTTAGGAGGGTTTTATTTCACTGAATCTTGAACTTTTGGAGTTTTTTGGGGGTGAATCTTGGTGTTTTGGAGGTTTTTTGGGCTAAATCTTGGTATTTGGGGATTTTTTTTTTTTGATGACTTCATATTTTGAAGGTTTTTTGATGAGTATTGATGATTTGGAGGGGGTTTTAGCTGAATCATAACCTTTTGGGATTTTTGGGACTGTGTCGGTGTTTTGGGGATATTTGTTGGGCTGAATCTTGGTGTTTTGTAGGTTTTTGTGGACACAAGATGCCTGGTGACTTCTAGAGATGGACTTGGGCAGGAGGAGGCTCCAATTCACACCTTGTTTTTCCCCCAAAATAGGATTTTTCCTTCCCAAAGCTTGGCCAAATAGAGGAGGAGGCTGCGAGAAAGAGGAAGATGCCACAGGACCCCCAGGCAGGTGAGGAGGAAGTCAGTGCCCCTTTGCCCCTGTTTTGTCCTGTATCTCCCAGCTGAGCATGGCCCCCGGCTGCAGGACAACCCCGCTGCCGCCACCGTCCTGCCGGGGACGGATTTGGGGGGATCTCCTTGCCCTTCTCTCTGGCAGAGTCAAATCCCCTCCCTGTCCTTCTTCCTTCCTATCCTTTCTTGCTTTCCTTCTTCCTTTTCTTTCCTTCTTCCTTTTCCTTCCTTCTCCTTTTTTCTCCCCCTCCTTCTTCCTTCTGCTTTTTCCTTGCTCTCCTTGTTCCTTCTCCTTCTTCTCCTTCCTTCTCCTTCCTTTCTCTCCTTACTCCATTTTTTTCCTGTTCCTTCCACTCCTTCTTCCTTTTGCTTGTTTCTTCTTCTCCTTGCACCTTCTTCTCCTCCTTCCTTCTCCTTTTTCATTCCTCCTCTTCTTCCTTCTTTTTCCTTTCTCACCTTCTTCCTCTCCTTTTTCCTCTCCTTGCTCCTTCCTCTCCTCGCTTCCTCCTCAACTTTTTCCTTCCTCTCCCTCATTCCTTCTTCTTGTTCCCTTTTCTCCTTCTTCCTTCTCCTTGTTCCTTCCTCTCCTCTGTTCCTCCCTCTCCTTGTCCTTCCTCCCCCAGACAACAACTTGAGGACAGAGACCATGGAGGACAAATC